GAATTAATTTTGCTTGTGCTCCAATATGACCACAGACCATGTTACCATGTTAAAGAGTGCTGAGCTTAAGTTAATATTTGCTGTCCCTTAGCTGGACTTATTTGTTAAGACTCAGCACTGTGACATTGTAAGTTACCCAACGGTTGTCCTAGATGGTAGCAAAAGGAGCTCATGTCTTGATTGTAAAATTCTATGTAGGTCTGCCCTTTTTCTCCTGGAAAACAAATTTATTCCTTGCTTTAGATAGCTCTGTTGCAAGTTATTCTGGGAACTGCTAACTGCTTCTTTTTTTCTTGTGAGTTTAGGTGAACTTTTGCAGATTCCAAGAATGAGGTAATTAGATATTTTAAAGACTGAGGTCTTGAACCTTACTTAAGAGGAAAGAATACAGTGAATGGAAGACAAATTCAAGGTGCTCTTAATAGCACAATATAATTCCCCAAGGGCTGGCAGTTTCCTGTGCAGGAAAATTATATTGTTGTTGTATGAAAGTGAGCGAAACAGCAGGTGACCTATTACCAGGGCCAGCCCAATAGATGTGCTAGGAAAGCACATAGCACTGCAAGGATACTGACTGGTAGGTTGTGTAGGAGTAAAGGTGAATGTGACTCAAATATTTCTCCATTGCGAATTACCTTCAGTTGACTAATTGTGGCTACATGTCTCTATTTGAGGGACAATGTATTGAGTTGACATTAAAGAACAATGTGTAGGGTGTCTTAGGTGGAAATAGCAGTGGATAATATAAGCCCTATTAAAAGCATGTTTGTCTTTATGTACCCAGAAGGAAGAAAAAAATTTTTAAAAGGCAGAATCTGTGGAAAATAATAAATGAGTAAATTTCCAAATTGAATTTATTTGTACCCTGGAGGCTATTGATTCTGAAATATATACTTCCATGGGTTATAGAGCAGATATTAGTCTCAGAATTGTTCCTTTCTGTTCAGTTCTTTTCCTGAAATTTAATGACTATTACTTTTTGTGAATGTACTGCTTTTGTCCTTTTTACTATGCTTTGCTGATGGCTGACTACGTCTTTCACGGACAGGGAGATTGGGAGAGGGGTAAGAATCTCAGCATAACGCCAGAAAATGGGCTTCCAAATGCCAGCTGCGTTCAGTTAATAGTTTAAAGTTCTTTTCAATTACAATTTTCAGTTATGGCTCATATATTCCTGTTTTAATACTATTATCTATGATAATTCAGTTCCAAATTTTAAATTTTGTAAGATTAAAAGAATATGAACATCCTAAAACTTAGAACATAAGCACTCTAAAGCATAGGTGTAGACTTTATTCTGTTTCCACACAATGAATGTAATAAGATGCAATTATTCACATCTCGGTAACTGCGAAGTTTTAATTGTAGAATATTGTCATGGTTTAGCCCAGCCAGAAACTAAGCATCATGTGGCCACTCGCTCACTCCTTTCCCCTCGCCTAGCCGCCCAGTGGAAAGGAGAGGAGAAAATATAATGAAAGGCTCAAGGGTTGAGGCAAGGACAGGGAAGGATCAGTCACCAATTATGGTTACAGACAAAACAGATTCAACTTGGGGAAAAAATCAATTTAATTTGTTACCAATAAAATCAGAGAAGAATAATGAGAAACAAAGCCAGATCTTAAAAACATCTTCCCCCTCTTCTCATCCTTTCTTCCGAGGCTCAACTGTGCTCCTCATTTCTCTACCTCCTCCCTCCCTGTGGCACAGGGGGATGGGGAATGGGGGTTGCAATCAGTTCATCACACGTTGTTTCTGCCACTCCTTCCTTCTCAGGGTAGGACCCTTCCACTCTTCCCCTGCTCTGGCATGGAGTCCCTTCCCACAGGAGACAGTTCTCCACAAACTTCTCAGGTGTGAGTCCTTCCCACAGGCTGCAGTTCTTCATTAACTGCTCCAGCGTGGGTTCCTCCCACGGGGTGCAGACCTTCAGCAACCAACTGCTCCAGCGCAGCCTTCTCACAGAGTCATGGCCTTCTTCAGGTGCAGCCACTTGCTCTGGCCTGGGGTCCTCCATGGCTGCAGGAGGATTTCTGCTCCACCGTTAATCTCCGCCGCCTTCCTCTCCACCCTCCACCAGGCAAGGGGCAGCAGCCCAGTGCAGCCAGCTGCCTGCACCTTCCTCCTCTCTCTCCGTTGCAGGTCCTTCTTGGCACAGCATTTTTTTTCCCTTGTTAAATATGTTATTTACAGAGGCGCTGATGGGCTCAGCCTTGGCCAGAGATGGGTCTGACTTGGAGCTGGGGAAGCTTCTGGCAGCTTCTTACAGGTACCACCTCTGTAGCCCCTCCCCCACTACTAAAACCCCACCACACAAACCCAACACAAATATGGAAGTAAGAAATTGTCATATGCAATATTTAGGGATTGCAAGAACGTTTTAATATTGGTGGCATATAATTCCCAGCATTTACCACTCTTACTGAAGTGCTTTAGCCATTACCCTCATACGTTCTATGTTAAACTACTTGAAGAACTGGTGACCAGTTATTGAGAAAACTATTGCCAGAATTTCTGTTTGCACTTTGTCCATCAGGTCCTCGAACCGTATTTATAAAAAGTTTTTTTTTCTTTGTTGGCAGATGACTTTGAAGACTATAAAGCTGTTTTAGACATCAAGGAAACTTAGCTCTCCTTTTGTCTGCTCAGTTTTTCTAATACAGCTATTAACTACTAATTTTATTATTCAGTTAACTAGCTTTCATTAATATCAGACAATTTGAATTTGTCCATAAACAAGAAATTCTCTTTGTACATTTATTTGTATTGTCCTGGTACCTGTCTTTGTTTGGTAGGCAATTAAAGAATATTTTCTCCTCCTGTTCTTTGTTTTCTTAATTACTTTCGTCAACAGCATGATTTAATTCTAATTTGTTCCTTCTTTTTAACCATATTGTCTAGCCTCTCTTCAATGCTTTTCAGTCTACTTTAGAAAGGTTGCCCCCGTAACTCCTTCAAATACCATGGAAGCTATCCAAAATCCCTCTATCCATAGAAAGTGGCCAATGTTTCATGAGATCAGATATCTCCACGTAATATTGCCTGCCAGGCTACTGGCTTCTTGCTGCATTCTTCTGCCTTTTGACTTTCTTCACTCTAAAGACAGAAAGTCCCCCCAATGGGAGATCACTTGCATGTACTTATTCTCCAGTACTCTTCTAAATTCCTTTGCCTGGTCTGCAATCTCTGAGGTAATTCAGAGGTATTTGATAAATGCAAATATGGATCCTTATTCTCTAAGATTACAAGTTAGTCCAATTCTAGTTACTTTTGATGTCTTCACTTAAAGAAGGCAACACATGTTATCTGCCTCTCTGTGGCAGAGTATCATTTCAGTTGTCAGGAATCCACAGTGAGGTTTATTTGCTGTCTTTGGAGACGCAGCTCCAGTGGAAACAGCAGTATCTGTACAGAACCTTAAAATAAAAAGGAGATATAGGCTTATTTATTAGCTTTTAGGATACATTTTTAATATAGTAGAATAATTCTGGCATGGATTATGGTGAAATTTGCTGGGTGGATAATGATATAATTTGAAAGAAGACAGTTCTTACAGTAAAAAGTTGTCAATCTATCAGTCATCTCTTTATTGTTCTTTTATTTTTAAACACAGGTTTTCAATAGCAGCCATCACTTCTGGGGAATGCTGTCTTAGATTGCCCGTATGCCAGTGATTTGATTTCTAACAGTAGCACAGTTCTGCACTGCATCCCCTGTCTCTTCCACTTACTGTGTGTCAGTTCAGTTTGCAGAGTGGTTTTCATCTGTGTTCAACTAGGCTTCAGAGGAAAATCATCCGGAAGCTCTACCTGAAGTATTCATTAAGTACTTTCTAGCCTCTAATAGGGATGTAAGGTCTAAACCAGTGATTGGTCCCTTGAACAGCTTCAGACTACTTTTTATAATTGGAACACTGGATTGAGGCCAGACATGATCTAGTCCTGAATGGTATAGAATCTGTAGATGAAGGAGCCTCAGCACAAAGTGCTTTGATCTGCTGAGCTGTTGCTTTTGCTTCAAATTGCTTTCTAAAGTAAGCTAAAGTTTAGAAACAGAGAAGAAGGTTATAGCTTTTGTCTCCATCCACTCATTTTCAGCCCTTCAGTGGTATTTTAACTTGAGAATATCATTTATTGTCTAATTAAAAATATTGACAAAATACTCATGCAAACCTTTGTTGTTGGGGAGCTTCTTTTAAGCAGTCCTTGTATCCTGGACAACACAGAAATAACAGTGATTTCAGAATATACTAATAAAGACTAGAACCCTGGGAACTGGTCATATCATGACAGGCTTCTCTGGGCAGAGTAAATACGTGATTTGAAGCAGGAATATTTGCTGTGGAGGTAAATTGGATTTAAAACTAATATTGTCTTTCATTTTTATCAGAAAAGTCTTCAGTGAGGGAAAATACGTAAGTGGTTTTATTTTTTGTCCAATTGAACTGGCTCAAAAATTGTCCTGTTTTTGTCTGTTTTGATCTGTATGATACTAGTTTCCCTATTTTATAGCTTCATGAATACCATGGATGCTGCTATTCCTCAGCCCCAAGGACAAACTGAAAAGATGTTAAATTATAAAGTATCTGACCTTGGTACGTTTTCTGTACATGAACAGAAGAGTTAAGACAGTGACAAAGGGTTTAGAGGAAGAAGAAATCTAATACTTCTCCTACTAGCAGAATGGCTGCGCAAAGAGGGCTTTTAAGCAATCAGGGCCCAGCAAGCTAATTTGCGACTGATAGTATAAATTATGTGCAGATTCTTTCAGATTGTTTGAATTAACTCTAGGGATATTTTTAGAGCAACTTTGTTTGGTTTAATGAAAACTGTTATTAAATCATTAGTCAATGAAAATAGTTATTTAATTTTGTGTGTATGTAAATTATCATATTCATACACCATCGTTATTATTCTTTAAACAATATACCTATTCAGGATTATAACTGTTTGGTTAAAATGGTCAGGTTCCTCTTAGTAACTTCTCTGTTTTGCTTGCAGGTTGTATATAAAAATAATGATGTCAGGTTGGAGTTATCTCGACTTGCCAAGCAAGGAGATCCTAAAATGAAGATTCATGGGGTTGTAGCATTTAAATGTGAGAATGTTGCAACCTTAGATCCAATCACATTTGAAACACCAGAGTCTTTCATCTCTTTGCCAAAGTGGAATGCCAAGAAAACAGGCTCAATATCATTTGACTTTCGTACAACTGAGCCAAATGGCCTAATTCTTTTCAGTCATGGAAAACCGAGGCACCAAAAAGATGCCAAACACCCACAGATGGTGAAGGTTGACTTTTTTGCCATTGAGATGCTTGATGGACACCTCTACCTGCTGTTAGACATGGGATCGGGTACTATAAAAATAAAAGCCTTGCAGAAGAAGGTGAATGATGGTGAATGGTACCATGTGGATTTTCAGCGGGATGGACGGTCAGGTAAGCTGCTTCTTTTAATATTCTGTATGGTTTTTCTTATTGTATCTGAGAGAATACTGGGTATATATTATGTTGCCACAATTAGAGTTGTGCATCACCTGACAATAAGGGAAATTTAAGACATTGTTACTGTCAGATACCAAAATACAATGATTCGCAGAGTAAAATATCTTATGTTAACATTTATTGGGTAATCAGGTACTTAATCTTGCAAGTAAGTGTGCAGTGTACTTCAAAAAACCCAGTAATGTCCCTCTGTGCTTGCTTACACCAAATAGCTGAAATGACAAGTTTCAAGAATAAAAACAAAGCCAAAGAGAATTACTGAAAGTAATATCCAGCGTAGGGAATAGCTGGCCCACAGAAACAGCACAGACCTTCCAATCATATCAGCAGATCTCAGCATAATTAACTTATGTGCTAATGAATGGCTAACAACACATATCAGCAGAAATGGAAATAAGTGACTCGCCGTATTCTGTCAGCATGATTTGTATTCTGTAGTGGTTTACTCAACAAATGATCTCACTGAAAAGGGTAAAAATAAAGAATTCATAAACTCTTCCTAATGCTACTGAAATCTGTTATAGCATAAAATCATAGAATCATAGAATGATTTGGGTTGGAAGGGACCTTAAAGATCATCTAGTTCCAAACCCCCTGCAATGGGCAGGGTTACCTTCCACTGGATAAGGTTGCTCAAAGCCCTATCCAACCTGGCCTTGAACACGGGGAATGGGCCAGCCACAACTTCTCTGGGCAACCTGTTCCAGTTCTTCACTACCCACAGAGTGAAGAATTTCTTCCTTAGATCTAATTGAAATCTCCCCTCTTTCAGTTTAAAGCCTTTGCCCTTTGTCCTATCACCACTATCATCACTATCTTGTAAAAAGTCCCCCTCCAGCTTTCTTGTACGCCCCCTTTAGGTACTGGAAGGCTGCTCTAAGGTCTCCTCAGAGCCTTCTCTTCTCCAAGCTGAAAACCCCAACTCTCTCAGCCTGTCTTCATAAGAGAGGTTCTCCAGCCCTCAGATCATCTTTGTGGTCCTCCTCTGGACCTTCTCCAACAGGTCCATGTCTTTCCTGGGCTGGAAAGGTCCTGGAGTACCTTTCCTGTGCAGTACTCCAGGTGGGGTCTCACGAGAGTAGAGTAGAGGGGCAGAATCACCTCCCTCAACCTCCTGGCCACGCTTCTTTGGATGCAGCCCAGGATATGGTTGGCTTTCTGGGTTGCAAGCATACATTGCCGGCTCATGTTGAGCTTCTCATCAACTAGCACCCTCAGGTCCTTCTCCTCTGGTCTGCTGTCAATCCATTCTCTGCCCAGCCTGTATTTGTGCTTGGGCTTGCCCAAGCACGACATTGCACTTGGCCTTGTTGGACTTTATGAGGTTCTCACAGGCCTATCTTTCCAGCCTGTCAAGGACCCTCTGGATGGCATACTTTCCTTCCAGTGTGCCACACCACACAGTTTGGTGTCATCAGCAAACTTGCTGAGAGTGCTGTCCATGTCACTGACAACATCCAGCACCTTATCCACCCAGTGGTCCATCCATCAAAACCATGTCTCTCCAGTTTAGAGACAAGGATGTCATGTGGGACAGTGTCAAATGCTTTGGACAAGTCCAGGTAGATGACATCAGTTGCTCTTCCTTTATCCACCAATGCTGTAACCTCACCGTAGAAAGCCACCAAATTTATCAGGCAGTTTGCCCTTAGTGAAACCACGTTGACTGTCACGAATCACGCCCTTATTTTCCATGTGCCTTAGCATAGCTTCCAGGTGCATCTGCTCCACAATCTTGCTGGGCACAGAGGTGAGACTGACTGGCCTGTAGTTCCCTGGGTCTTCCTTTTTTTTCCTTTTCAACTAGTGAAACTGTCCTTGTGTTCCAACTGCATCTGATTTTAAGTACGTATGTTGACTTCAGCAAATAATCAATACCCATTAATTGAAGGACAAATCTATTCTATGGTATCTTTCCTGTAGTTCATACCAGATTTGGAGTGTGAGGGAATGTACAGAGTCTGTAATTCAGTCCATCAGAGAATTTTCTGATTAATATCACTATCTGATTTGAAGATTATGTGTGCTCTGAAATTGAGTGTTGAAAAACATAAACACCTCTTCTTTTGAATTTTGTGGGGTTTTCTCTGCTTTTTTCCTTCTTGTGACTCCTTTTCCATCAATTGCATTTATAATTTATTTCTGAAGTTTCACCTCAAAAAAGTTATTGGTTTATGACTTACTTTTTTACTACCCACAAATCAGATTTCAGATTAAGTGAATCTTAGATGTAGGTTTAAATTGAAGATTTCAATCAAATCCATGCTGAAAGTCAGACCAAATTCAATTGATCAGTCCACCCTAGGATTATGAAAAATAATGATTTGATTTCTGGGATGTGTGGCTTCAAATTCTAATTGTAGAGAGTTTGATTTTTCTGATTATAATAATGTCAGTTGCTTATTTGCATTTCTTGGAGTTAAAAAAAAAAAAAACAAGCAAGCAAAAAAATCCAAACAAGAAGACACACAACTTCTCAAAATCCTCAGTTGTGATTGAATATCCAGCAGTTATATTATTTATACGACAATCTTCATTTCAGGCTTCCTTCTTAAGTGCTGTTTCAGTGATTCATCTGAGGCAGTAAATTCTCTAATAATCATGCCTGTGGGACTCCACTGAAAGCAAAGTTTATTGTTACATCCAAAGTCAACACAACTATAAAGAAGTAAATGCATAGCAATTGTTTACATTTGAAGATATGTTCCACACTTTCATTACTTCGGAAAAAACATAGCTCACAAGTGCCATTAAGAGAATTTAGGACATACTTTATTTAATTATTTAAAACTATTGATGGACATCAGCAAGAATGTAGCCTAATTTTGTGAAGCAATTCACACCTGGCAATCAGGACTGCCTATTATTTCTAAGTAGACTTATAAATAGTTAAATATACATGTAAAAGAAAAATTAATCCAGCTGGTGAATCACCTATGATCAAGACAGGTCGACTTTATTTACTGGGTCATTCTTGCAAACTGACCATAGTACCAATTCACCCTAAAACATCGAACTGTTACCAGGGTTAGTTAATAAAAATGTAGGCATATGGATTGACAAACTGAATTTTTTGCTGAAGTCTGAACCAGACGTCAAACGTTTTGTGTGATTTTAATACATACAATAATACTTTATAGAAGGAGAATGACTAAAGGCAATTAGTCAATTAGTGGCAATGCTGTTATTTTTCTTAATGAGAATATTGGCTGAGTAGTGTCTTAGACTATCAGATTTAACCAAGTAAAATGACGGCCTAACAATTAAAATAAACAATGAACTGTATGTTCCTATTTTCTTCTGATTGGAACAGGAAGTACTGATGTGTTATGTTTAGATTATTTCTTCGTGACTCATGCATGTTGGTCTATTATGCTTTTTTCCATGAATAATAAAATCAACTTTACTATTCCAGGGAACTTTTTAATTTATTTTCTCTAGCTAAAACCAAACATACTGGTAATCGTATGAAGATGATCACTTTTCAGTTGCTTACCTTCAGATTTTTTGTATAAGTGAATGAATATACTTCATATTAAAACGATTAGGCTTTTCTGAGACTTTCTTGTTGCTGCTGGCAAAATACTTCCCAACCTATCAAATGTAAAGGAAGAGATTCTCCTGTTAATGAATAAATAGCTCAAATAGCCTGTTAATTTTTTCTTTTAAGTGAAGTTTGGTGTCTTGCAAACTTCTACAGCTACCCTTCAGATTCAATACAGAGTGATTCTCTCAGATAATAGAAAGCTGTGATGTTTCTCAAGGAGCTTTGCTAATTTCCTGGACTTTTATATTAGCTGAATCAGCAAGATTTATTTTTCCTTCTTTGCTCTCTTCTGGACTCTCAGGCACAAGGATCATCCACTCTAAACTACCGTCTTTGCCTTTGACTGTCTGGGACTGCAGCCGGGGAAATAAAAGGAATGAGAGCACGTTTTTAAACTGTACTCGTCCAGGCACTATTCACTAGTAATTCCTGTGATGCCCTCAGATTTTCAGAGATACAAGGAAGGGGGAAGAGATGGTGCCCTTTAATTTCCTTTTGCTGAAGGAACTTTTGACCTATTATTCTTATTAGAAGTTTTTTCACTGTAGACTCACATCCTGCTGCCTCTAAGACCTACTCTGAGTGCTTCCTTAACTAAAAAGTAGATCTTCAGTGAGAAGGAACTCCTGATTTCCAATTTCCCAGTGTCAAGTAAAGAAAGATTTCATACCTTTTCCGTTAGTCCATCTTTCTTGCTAGGTATGCAGCAGAGGAAAGGGAACACACGTTCTCCAGCAGCCCATCATTTTGCTAAGTATATGGCAGAGGACACAACATGGTACCAACTACTGTGTCCTGTCACGTGAGATGAATTCCCTTCCAGTATTCATGATTATTCTGAATTCCTGCAAAGGACAATAGCTTCATAGCTGCTTCACATGTGCCCTTGGCCTTGGCGATGGACTGTATGCTGTGGTCACAGTCCTCGTTACAGCTATTATATTATGCTTTAGCATACAAGATGTGAAGTGTATTTAGAATATCTTACTCTGATTTTTCCCTGGTTTTTAATAAGAAAATGTGTTTCACATGCACAAAGAGCAACTAAATAGGCCACATAAGGTAAGCACAGGGACCAGAATAGTTGTAGTAGCTGTAGTTACAGTTTTCATATTTAACTGATCAGAATTGAGACAAGGTTTAGCAATATGTCTTAGTTTCTTATGCTCAGACTTTATGAAAAAATAAATTGCTGAGATAATGAATATGATTGGAGAGGCTCATTAATGCATACCTAAGGGAAATGTTTGTCTGTTCTGCTCTTAACAATATTGCCATCTCTGCAGTAAAAGAATTGGGAAAAAAAAAGCCAAACCTAAACTAAAAAGAAACCAAAACAACCATGAAGCAGCTGTAAAGGTCTTTGCTTACCGTTTTTCTTGTAACA